CTTTTATATTATAATATTTTTATAATACATCATCGATGTCAACAGGTTATACATTATTTATTTGTAATTGCTGGTTGTTTAACATAAAAAATGATATTGTTTTGGAATATAATTGTATTAAAATAAATAATTTTTATGTTCAATTAGTGATTTTGACAAAGCAAATATTCATTAAGTAGAGCAATATATTTTAAAATAGCGTAATTTAGTAATAAAATATTTTGAATAATATTTTAGTATAAAATTGTCAGCTGCATTTTTAACAATAAATCTACAAATAATCTATAGGAACTAGATTTATTCAATCTTCTTTTATGAAATTAGAAAATCGGCTAATTTGTTATAATTATATCTTTAAACAAATGCTCAGGTATAATCTAAGTAGCGTTGAAAAAATTCTACATGGACTGTATGTATTATTATGCATTAGTCATTGAAGAATTAAAAAAATGATTTTATGCTTTAAATAACGATTAAAAAGTTTTTGTATATTTTCTTTGGTAATAAAGTTCAAAACAAAAATTCTCTTTTCTAGTAAAAAGTAATACTTTGTAGCTTTTTTCCAAAAGCTGACATATTAATTTTAGCAACTTTTTTAGAGCAAACCATTTTGAAAAAAAATAAGACGCCATTGATATTTACATAAAACAGATATAGGAATATTTTAAAGGATTTCATAATCAAAATAATTTAAAAAAAGCTTTTTTCAAATAACCGTTTTACATCAGTTAATTATTCTTATCACGCGCCTTTGTTTACTCTCGTCGTTACATTAGGTTAATTTAATAAAATACTTGTCGACTTTTGAGATGTTATTTATGCCATATAGAGTATTTTTCATTAGCTTTCAAGACACGCAGTCTTTTAAGTATATTTTATTGATTAAAAAAATTCCAAAATTTTCATGACGACTAGTAATGTTATATTTTTTTTTGTAGAAATTCTACGTTCTTTTGAACGAGGAACAAAAAAATAAAATGAAGAAAGGAAAATGAAAAAACACATTTTATTTTATTTGCAATGTGATTAAATATTCATTTACGCTTGTCATATTTCATAACCTAGATTCCAAGAAAAATTATTCATTGTTGTAACAGTAAGCGAACCCAATAAATAAGCTCAATGTGGTTATATTATTCAAATTATAAAACCCTATTAACAAGACGGCAGTATTTGAGTATTTATTGATTAATAACTCTACAATTATATAATAAATACACAAGAAAAATTTTTGATTTAAAACAATAAAATAATACCATGTTTTGAAAAACACTAATTCAATTGTTTTCATTTGTCATTCCAATGGTTATTATAAACAAAAATATTGATGTCATCGACGCAGATAACGTTAAATAATATTTTATTCTATAGCAAAAATAATATTATTTGTATACTTTATAAACCTTTTAATAATAAATAGATTGTCAATAGAATTTTGAAATGTCGGTTCTGTCTTTGTTATAATATTTAGATCTGATTGTCATTTTTTTTTATTATAAAATTTTTGAAACTGTTCAATTGATTTTTTTTTCTTTTTTAAGAAAGAAGCAATTAAATAAACATTTTTATATTTTGAGAATAAATATTTTAGCTGTTACATCATTGCAAAACAAACGTACACAATCAAAGAATCCATTCAATTTTTGTATTAAATAAAAATGAGATATAATTAAAGACAATATATATATAACCTTTTAACTATTGAAAAACAGATTCTTAGTCAACATTTGTGAAGTTAGATTAGTTTATTATTTTGATTTTAGTTGACAAAATATAAGTTCACATTTAGGAATGATATTGTTTATGACTTATTCAAATTATCATATGATTTAATTATGGCATATTAGTAAATTATAAGTCATTCAAATCACAATTTTTCCTAAAAATTAATGATATGAAGTTAAGCAGGTTGACTATTTTTTTCTTGGCAAACGGCAAAATATTATATCTAGGAAAAAAAATCTATACATTTGTCATGTGTTTTGATAAAAATAAAATTCAGTTGAATTCAACTCAGTTTCTCACCTTAAAATAATCATTAAATCAATAAAATCATTATTCATGCAATTTTAAAAAAATATACAGAAAATAATTAATTAATAGTCATAACTTTTTTTTATTATATCTAATATAATAATTGTCATTAAGATCGTATTTAATATTTTTAAATATTTTCAAGTTTGATGTAATATGAATAAACATTTATTAACATATGATGTAATCAAAAAATATTGATTTTACTCAAATATGCTTTATGTACAAATTACTTAATTATATATTTATATTATTTACAACGTTAGTTTGTTAATGTTTTTGATTATCATTTTCATATATTACAAGTTACTCTGATATAAATATTTGTTCATTATCATTTTCGGTATTTTTTTAAAAACTAAGCTTTATTTACATAGAAAAAATAATGAAAATATGTGAAAAATGGCCTAAATATTTTTCTTTTTCTAAAATATGCTAAATATACCAGAAAAACTTTTTTTATATGAACTTGGTAATTTAAAAATCGTCAAAATGTATTACTCCCAATAAGAGCACCATAAAGTTTGTACAAATAGTTATAATCTAAAAATCGACTCTCTAATAACAATATAATATTCTTACTGAGAAATATAATTTCAAGGTGTTTTTTTAAACTACTTCACTTATCAAAAAAGTACATAAAATGTAATTTAAACTTATTCTTAATTTATTTAATTTTCTAAAAATATAAAATAAAGAAAATAGGTATTTCTTAAGTTTCAGATAATTGAATATTCAAAATAGAATTCATACCTATTTTACTCAGGTAGAAATTTTATAATAAATAATGTTTAGTAATCATAAATAGAGTGTTGGAATCTTTTTTTAATAATATATGAAATTTTTTATATATTATTAAACCCATAAAATTAAAATATTTGAGAAAGTATTGAAAGCTTTTCTTTTTCTGTATTCTTTTTTGCTTTCATAATTGTTCAAAAATCAGTATAACTTTTATATCAAAAAAAAAATTCAAATCTAACTAAAAGCTTTTTTGATATAGTCGAGCTTTAAATTACTTTGGTTTAAGTTTGAGTTTGTTCTAATCATTAAATTTCTTTATCGTTATCAAAAAGTAAAGTTTATAATATATATTTAAGAGTTATACATCTTTTTTACGTTAATGCAAAAACTGAAATTCACTGATAAAGCAAATTAATTTTTTTTTATCGAAATTTGATAGAAGTACTAAATGCAATAACAGTTGTATTTTTAAACAAAATGAGCTTGCAACTAGTTTTATTATATTACGAATAATTTTAGTATTTGGTTTATTTCTACTAGGAATACTTAATATTTTTCTTGTATGAGTTAAAAATGATCCAATAATACGAATGTTAAAATGTTTCCCTTATGTATGTACTTATATTTTTTTATATGAATAATATTAAAAATATAGGGTGTTTAGTAAGACAGGAAACGGGTTTCTATTTTTCTCATTGTTTGTAAAAATGACCTGTTTGAACTTACTGAACACCCTGTATATATAAATGTATGTGTTTTCTTCATGAGCTTTAGTGAGTTTTGACCATTGTTTGATTGATGTTGTTTACGTGAAAATTCTAAAAGAGGGCAAACTAAGTGTAGATATATATATATATGACGTATATTATAAAAATAATACTATTATTTTGTTATAAATCATGGCCATTGATGTAAATGTATTTGTTCGATTTATTGTAACAACTTATAATGAGTAATATTATAATTTACCAAAGCATTTTTAGCAGAAAAAAACGCATAACAACTGTATAATTCTGAAGGTGGGGAGTACGATTTATATTTCCATTATATTTGAACGGCAATTGTTCCGACTGTGTGTTCAGAAAGTCGATTGAATAGCGTAAAACAAAATTTTCTTTATTCTTCGTAGCATTGATTTACGACCTATCAAATTCCGAATATGTGTTTTTTAAGTGCAGTACTTAAAAAAAATGTTTAGTATAACTTTAATGTATAGTGTGATTTACTAACTACGCCTCACGTAATATTTTCAAAAATACATGATAATATATCATTTTTCACTTTCAAAAGTATATAAAATATGTAATACTACATATTAGTAGTAGATACATACTACTAAATAAAAAAAATATTTAGTTTATCCTACAAACAAATATTAATTGTTGTTTTATAAATGACATTATGTATATTTATGTGGCGTACGCTATAGAATAACATCTTATTATGAAAATGATTGGTTGATAACAATTTTTGAAGCAGTAATTTTGGAGATAACATTTCAAAATGTTGGCTGGAAGTGACGAACAGGTTTGATTATTTTGCGCCTTTGCGCAGAAGTACTTCTCTTGTTGTTTATATGAAACAGAAATGGTTCAAAAGTTGTTATCTGACAGTATACCCGTTACTTAAAACTTCAGTATCGAAAGTTCAAAATTTACAATTTATTGATCATGTTAATTTTAATAGTAAAACTGAACTTTATTTCTATTTTTTTAACCGCGCTGTATATTTTATGTTCTCTTAAAAATATTTGTAAACACTCGAGTTTGAAAGAATGAAATAGCCTATATGACGACAGAACGAAATCGAATTTCGATAATTCTGTGGTTTTTGGGTAAAAGGGGTTAAGTACACAAATTACATAAATGAGGTTAAATAAATCATAATATTTAAAAAAAATATTCTTCTTTGTGGCATGAAGAGCTATGAAATGGTTAATTTTGAACTCAATTTCTTTTACTGGAACACCACAGAATTGATACCGATGGACGACGTATTTAATTAAGACCATCAATATACGTAAATATAATTTAGTACTTAAATTTAAAAAATAGAATTACTTTATCATAGCAATTACAAAGAGCAGTAAATACATAAAGTTATCTTTTTGTATGAAAAATTTTAGAGTTTGGATGGTTTATATTAAAATGTATTTTTCGTTAGAAATTTCTAAGTAGATATAACTACCTTAAATCTTATAGAAACATACATTTTGTTAACAGGTTTCGAAGTATTGAAACGGTCTAAATAATTGTCTACAAAATGGGTTTCTAGCAGTGATGCGGTGGCAATGACACTGACGATGAATGAAAAACAGCTTTCGATGATAACGATGATGGTAGTGTTTTTACCGAGGACGGCAATATTGTTTTTGTCGGCTGCAGCAGGTGTGTATGACGATAAATTTACACGATAAAAAAATTTGGAGGATACCATTTAAAAGTATTGGTTTTAATAGTATCCACAGTGGCTTTTAAATAGTTCATTGCACGACACGTATCCAAATGTTACACATGGCTCGATATTTACGTACGCGTTTGGTTTCGCAGTGCCATTAGAGACATCGTCGTATGTTTTAATTTAGTACTGAGTTGATAAAATTTGTTTATAAATATACTTGTTACATTTTTAGTTAAGTGTTTGGAACGACTTCATGACAGCTGACAATGATGGCGAATCATTGGTGTCATCGTCTAGTGGTAACGTCGATTATAATCCAGTGATGCCCAGAAAACAAAGCATAGCAAAAGGTATATTAGTGCACAACACTCGGAAAAGTTCGGCGGGTAATCGTGTGAGTTTCGCTAGTTCACATCCATCATCAAGGTCTTCTTCGATTTCATCTAGCAGAAGTGATAGATCAAAAATAGATCATCAACAAATTATAAATGAGAGCTACGTTCAGCCTAGTAACAAATCAAGTTGTTTTGGAATCAAAAGCCATCTACATGAATTTTATGATACTCCTGACTACTCATCACGGGTAAAGTAGCATGATTTTTTTTATCAATAAGTATTTTAATATAATTATAAGTATTGAAGCAAATTTTTCGTTTCATAGATTGTTTATCTCAAAAACTGAAAATAAAGGCAATATGTTTAAAAAAAGTTCTATCGAAATAAACAAATACTTTTTATTTGATGAGGTCGCCAATTTTTTATTTAAATTTGTGTCTCAAACATTTTAATTTATGTCTTAAACGTGTAAATCAATAGTTATTTTTAAATACATTACGATACATCAATTAAAAAGTAGTCAAGAGCTAAGAAGTTGCAGTTTATTAATAATTTAAGCATTTCCTTACTCAAATAACAATCATTACATAAATTATTTTAACGAAAACAGTATTAGAGATATAGGTTTTCCATAGTTCTAAAATTAACACCTGTAGTTTGAAGTTAATTTTTTTAATTAATCGAAATTCTCTGCATCAATACTTATTTTGTAAATGTCGATTAAAGTACGTAAGCAAAAAATAGTTTTTGAATAATAATAAGTTGGCTTTTTTAATATTTTAAACATTTATTCGCTTTACATGAATTTAATTTGTAAATAATTTTTTATTGATTTTTTTCATTGAAGAAAATAACAGTTAACCATATTTTATGCCAATTTTATATTAAAGAACAATTATTTTATACAAACAACATTTTTCACGCGTAAAGTAATATTCATTTATTTGAGTTCCTTCAAAGTAAAAGTACTTTGGATACAATAAAACAATACATGAAACTTTTCAAAGCAAAGCCATCAGCGATAACTGTGCATTACTTGTCCTTGGACGATAGTGATCAATGACTCAAGTGTTGATGGCGTCAATTTCCTTTAATTTTTTTTATCATCCCACTTCTATTTTATGCATTCATTAATTTTGGAGTTTTTTTTTCGTTATAACGAATATAGTAGCTACACTAAAATATCACTCTACAATTTATTTGTAAAGATTAAATACACGCGTTTTCATTAGCTAAATGAGCTTTAGAGTAGTAATAAAAACATTACTTTTTTATATCTCGACTAATTGATTTAAGAAAATATTGATAAATTTAGATTACTATATCGAGTAAATTTATCAATCTTGCATTAAGAAATTTTTTGCTAGAATTAAAAATTATACTTTGAGTCAATTTAAATACTGTAATAACAAATTTACTCACAATTTTTCGTTTATTTATTTTTTGTAAGTAAATTATTCATTAACTTATAGTTTTATACTATTCTTTTTTTTCAAAAATATTTAATCGAATTTAATAAAAAAAAAATATATTGATAACATTTGTTATTTTTACAGGAAGACAATTTCCGTTATTTAATAGAACCAAAATCGCGTTTCGCTCAACATTGCTGTAATGCGTGGGCATTTTTTGGATTGACAGTTATATCAATAGGTGCTTTAACGTTAGCGGCAGGACATCTCATTCCGGCAAAGGATCCCATCGTTGATCGTACTGCAAATATGGAAGTGGTGGACCGTTATGCCATAAATTACAATCAAAACCTTGTTACATGTCGTTATGTTGGTGCTATAGTATTTAGTATTGGTGTGGTGTTCAGCGTCATTAGATTGTGGGTGTCTTTGATACGCAACATTAGCGAAGACGATAGATTTGAAGAAGAAAAAATGGGCAAAGATGAACTGGGTAAACAGTTTAAGAGTCGTCCTCAGACTAGCCGTATACCAATAAGTGGGTCAGTAGAGTGTGTCCAACCTAATGTAAATTCAATTGGTTAAATAAGTTAAGTTTTATTAATAACATGTGGTCAGATTAGATTGGTAATATTGCGTTATATTTTTTGATTGATATAATACAAAAACGATTATAACCGTCCAGTAAAAATTTACTTGAAACCTCGTAAGCAAACTAAAAAAAACCTAAACATATTTAAGCATACGGATATTTAATATTAATATGTAACTAAATTTTTTAAAATAACTTTTAAAAACAGTACAAATAGAAAATATTTAGAATAGAAAATAGAAATATCTTACATAAAAATATGACTCTTTTTGTTGAATTTTATTTAAGTTTGAGATTATATATATATTTCTACTTTTTTTTAAGCTTAAGTGATGACAATTGTTACACAAAGAAACAATTTGTATTAATGTAATAATTATTTTTAGTTATTCTATGTCAACAAATATTATGATATTTATTATAATTTTTAAGTCGGAACAACCAGGGTCGTATGATATAAACTAGATAATATAAATTTACTAATATATATACAAAATGATTGATTTATCGATAATCTCTATATTTTTTTTAAATAATAATAATTTTAAGATTTCTTTTTTTGCTTATTTATTTTTCAAACTTTATGTGATTTAATACTTTTATGTTGTTTTTTGTTTTTATATTGTAAAAAAATCATTTTTTAAATTATTATTATTTTAAGAAATATATAGTATTCAACGATAAATCAATCTTCTATATATATTCTAGTGATAAATGAAAGAAGAAATATATTCAATTTAAAAAAATAACTTGATTTGAACATTTTGTTAATTAATCTATTAATTTATCAATTAAATTAAAAATAATTCCATTCAATCAAGTATTTAAATTATTATATTAAATAATCATCTTATAGGACAAAAGTTGTTCTAAATTTTTCTAAGAGAAATGATATAAATTAGTAATATCATACCATTAATTTGATATCATTCCATGATGTCTTAATTATACAGATATGAATCCAAACTTAAAATTATATATTTCAAAATTTTTTATACATATATATTTTTTTTTTGAGGAAATATAAATTTAAAAATGAAAACATTTTTATAATAATATATTTTGTATGATGTATATTTGTCGTTTGAAAGAGTATGATAATTTGAATGTTAGTTATTGAGATATACAAAAAAATAGCTCATCATGAAACAGTCCCTTTTAAAATAATTATATCATGGTAGTTTTAAAGGATAACTTCTAAATATTAAATGAAAACCTTTAATATTATTTTTTAATTTTTATGAAGAATGAAATAAAACATATTTGATAGTTCGATTAGCAATTTTAAGATATTTGTTTTTAAATATTTAGGGAAAGTAAGGAACCGGATATTGTTTAAACACTTCTATTTGTATTATTACACAATGATAAGAACACTATGTTGCGAATCTCATGGACTATATTTTAAAATTAAATTAGCTCAGCCACTTATATTTAGAAACTTGTTATTGATTTGTGCTTTTTTTCATGTAAAAATAATTACACATCCTCGTTTTAATTTCGAAGGTCACTCCTTAAACATACTCCAGAGATATATATATATATATATCCCTTATTATGAAAATATCATCATATTATAGTGACTTTTTAGGGGAAAATTAATTTTTAAAAAATCAGTGTTCAAATATCTTATAAAAAATTAATGACACAATATTTATTTAATCTAATATATTTTAAAATATTAAGATTGAATTTTTTTTTTTTAATTTTACATATTAATATTGTTTGCATTTAAAATAATTTTTTTTTAAATATTTAATAAATATATGTTTATATGGAATTATTTGTGAAGAGCTAGATAATAAAAATTTAATTTTATCTTAAATATATCATTTGGTAAAAATGACTTATTTTTTTGAAAATTGTCACGAATGTAAACTTTATATTTTTCTATACTAATTGTGTGAAATTAAATAAAAAATAACAATTGTATTCAATATTTATTACATGTCTAAGGCTCACGTGACCATTATTTTAAGAATTTTAAGGTCCAGTGCTGTGAATGATTTGCATTTATAAATTTTGTTAAATTAATACGAATACATCCTCAGCCAGTTCAATTTTTATTAATTGTCTTGAAAACTTAATAATGTCTTTTTCCGATAATGTAGTTTTGGGAATGATTAGGTTTAGGAACCCTCTCTAAAACGAAATATATATATATATTAGGAAAACTAATTTTAAAGCCCCGTAATTAATATATTAAATGTTTGCGACAAACAAATTCCATTACTTAATAAATAACTCATATAATAATAATAATATATAAATATTTATACAAAGTGTCTCAGAGCTAACTGACAACGCTTATAACTTTTTATACAATTATTACTTTGTTAATTTTTTTTAATAATTATTGCCTTCTTATTTTACGTTTAAAGCATATTTTTTATTATTTATTATTAATAAAAAATAATTAAAATAAAATATTAAACAATAGCTGTTTTTAGCCCATACCTTATAAAAAATTTTGATAGATCGATAACAATTTTAGAACAAGTCATCATTGAGTTACAAGTATGTTATTTAAAGATTGAGTATGGTACGCGATCGGAGTAAACATAAACCAGTACGAGATGCACCCCTACCCTCACTAAATACCCATATATGTATATATAAGACTTAGTTAACTAATTATTTCTTATTATAGATTAAAATTTGTGTTATAATAATTTATATTATTAAACATGCACATCGGAAATAATTATTAAATAGTTGAACAATTATAATAATAGATAATTAAAACCTTTATGAATAATAATTATATAAATAAGAAACACAATACTTAAATAAATTATCAGACAGTTAAAAATGTACATTTATTTTGATTGTTATTTAAAATATATGATGTCATGAACATTAGTAATTTTGATTGTAAAATTGATATTTTTTGTTAAGTTCAACTATTTATTGAACCTTTTAGTAAAAATTATAATTTATTTTTATTTTATCACTATCAAATATTTGAATATTATTGAAAAATTGAATAAGGTTTAACTAATTTAAGTAATAATATATCACAAAATATTTTAGCGAATGTTATTTAAATTTAATTATTTATTTTGCTAATTTGGTTGGATATTGAAATAATGATAATTGTTTTTATTTATGCATAAAATGATAAAAATTAACTAACATATTAACTAACATATTAATACGTGCCCTACGGGTGGTCTTTGGACCTACATTCCTTATGTACATGCTTTTAACATTTAAGATTAAACTAATTTAAAAATGTTCACAAGATGTATACGTTATTTTAATATTTAAAAAAAAAAAATACATACAAGTTAATATTTTTAACTCTTATATTTTTATATGTTATTATAAGTAGATAACAGTAATGTTTCATAAACAAAGAATTAAAAATGTACTGTTATTTGCAGGGTTTTAATCAAAATTATTTATTTATTTTTTACATTATGACTGTTAATATGTTTACAATATTATTATATTATAAGTTTTAAACAATTAAAATGTTATGGAATTATTATATTATACATTTACGATATTGAAATATTGAAAATTGTTTTACGTTATAAAAAATTAAGCCGTTATTGCTTGTATGTTAGAATTCCCTTCACATAATTTTAATGTTAAAAACACTGATTGAAAGATATATTTTCCATAAACATTGTTAGTTATAATGAATCAACATTATGTTTTCATTTTCTGATTATTTTTATTTTTGTTTTATATAATTTAAGTTTATGTGTAGTTTATTGTTATAGTACATTTTTTGTAAATCGTTACTAGTTTTTTTCATTTTTTACGATTCTAATCAATTTTTGGTGGTTATAACGTTACAGAATGGTTTCAAGCCCTAGTTAATTGTGAATATAAACTAAACTGAATGTTTATAAATTTTTATTTTTATTTTTAAGAAGAAAATAAAACGAAATTGTACATGAAATTTTGGTATAAGTTAAATTATTTCCTTTAATAGAAAATAATGTATTTGAATTTGAACTTTTAGAAAACTATTAATTTATTTTAAAATTGATAGTACTTACTTTATTAAAGGCAATTTCAATCGACGTCTAAAAATTATAATAAATAACTTATTCAAATTATTTACTTAATACTCTAATAATAGTAAATATTTTTATTAAATAACTTAGATTAATTAGAGGAATACTCAGAAATATTTATTAGTTGTCAAATTTGAATATATTAATAAATACAATATAAGATTAAATTAATTAATTTTTTTAATTAACTGTAATTTTATTGAATTAATTTCTTGTTAAAAATTAATTCATAAACTAACTGTAACTAATTTTTACTTAAATAAAAAGCAATATACTACTTCATGTAATGGAATGTAATATCATTATATCAATATTTTCTATCAAAAATATTTTTTAAATTAAGATATATCATAACCTGATATTGCAATATACAGAATCAACATTGAACTTAATTTATAAATAGAAATTTGTTTATCTTGAATGCTTCTATAGAGACTTTTAAATATACATATCGCTATGCGCAACAAATATGGCAGTAACTAAAAAAATCCATTTTGAAATTATTAAGTAATTGAATTTAGGATTTACACTTTTTATAACTTTTATCAAAAATATCGACAATTTGAATCGAATCGGAATTAAACTACTTAGAAAATTGATAAACATATAGTGTGTAATCAGAGAATAATTTTTATTTTCGATACCCTGAAAAGTGATAATGAGTGAGCTACTGCCTTATTCGTTGCTCATATCGATAACTGAATGTTGACAACAGGTATTAAAACCAAACTAAAAACTAAACCGCAAAAACCAGTTATAAAACCGGAACTCAGTAAAAGCGAACAAACTGAAACCGCTTCCGGAACACAAATCCACGAAACTTTGAAAACCCAAAATCTAATATAAATAATGATTAAGATATCGGTTTTAATAATTATAAATACACCATTTCAAATTTATAAGTATAATAACAATGTTTGCAAATTATAAAGTTACAAATAATTAAATTATTCTGATATTTAATACAGTCACATCGAAGCAATTTACAAAATAATGTTAATAAAGTCAAATAATATTTATATTTGTATAATATTAACTATTTCGCGTTTTCACTGTGCTGCCATTTATATTTTTCCTGCTAATGGAAATGCTTTATCTTTTTTTCTAAGATAATATTTTGGTTATTATTTTTTTTAAATAAAAAATCGTTTAGGTCTTATAAAATTTTCAAGAACCGGTTAATACCGATTCTGGTACCTTCAGTTATGTTTGTAAAACCAGATTTAAAATTTTAAAGGAACCTGAACCGAAACCAATAACGTTATTTCATTAAGGTCTGGTGCCTAATTGGTACTTAAAAAATTTAGATTTTATCTCTGTATTTATTACTATTGCCGAAATATATATTAGTATTTTATAGTACTTCTAATAACCATAAAATAATGACAAATTGGACACAAATATAAATAAGGAAGACTGGCGGCTAAAATGTTCCAGAAATACTGACACTTTTATATATATTTTAAATTAAAGCTTATGTAATATACTTTAATTTGAAAAAAAATTGTCGAACTTTATTTTGTTTTCATAATTAATAAAAAAGTACAATTTTTGTAAAAAATTCTTTTTTATATTTTTAACTTTATAATGGTATTTTGAAAAATGTATGGATCAATACAATTTTTTTATGATAAATACTGTTGATATACCTCTTTCAATTCGACATCCTTTATAATTTTTTATAATTTCTCCGTAAAAATTACAATACTAAATTATTAAATATCAATTTCAAACTATTTTTAATTGCTATAATAAATATTTATACATATATTATTCATAAAGTTGTAATCAGGATGTAAATATGGAAATATGAGATCATGTTGCTTTTGGATTAATCCAACAATTTTTAAAAATTTTTAACTAATTAACCTTTATAACTAATTGCTAATAATTGGTTCACACCTTTATAAATAATTGTTACTAATTGGTTCATACCTTTATAACTAATTATTATTAATCTTTTCACACCTTTATAAATAATTGCATTTTATAATACAATTAGTAGCAATAAATTGATATATAGAAAATAGATGATATCTAAGAAAATACTTTAATGCGAATCTGTTAAAGTTTACAATTATTTGTATAATTGATTTTAACCATTGTTTTATTCTTAATTATTTAAAATATTAAAGGCTTATTAATTTATTTGTTTTATCATACAAACACTTTGAAAATATTTGTAACCGTTTTACCTATACTCTTTACAGGAACATGAAATACAAAAAACACATTTAATACACTTATCATTGTGTTTTACTAAAGTCATAAATTAAAATAAATGTATTTTTGAATGAGTTATAGCTAAATAAAAAAAAGTGATGATTTATTTCAGAAATGTTGTGATTTTAGGCTTTATCGCCAAATAATTTGTAAAAAATATCGTGGACACGTTTATTATCATTATTTTCTATATTAATTATCTCTTTTATCACTATTAAAATTTTGCAACGATTCCTGTTTTTAGAAAAAAATTATAGTAATTTTAAAATACGGACATTTTTTTTTTAATGCCAATTTTGAATATAACATAATTTTGAGATATTATTTTAACTTTAAAAAAATAGAGTTTTTCAAATTTTTGGCGTTTATAAATTTAACTATATTAAATTTGGGTTCTTTTAACGCGTATATCTACAAAATAACTGACACAAAAGAAACACATCATAGTAAAACCTACTCAGTTTCGCATCGAAGCTAATACATGTATATTAATTACAGTCCTAAAGCGAATGTGCATTCTACAAAAGACGTACATTACTAGTATAGTACTGATTTGTTTTTTTTTTAATTGATGAATATTATTGATTTTTTAAATAGTAATAATGGGACAAATCATAATTCACTTTTTGATACTAATATTTTTTTTATAGAAATGCTGTATTTTTCTTCTTATACAGTATAATTTTATAATTAAAAATAAATTAACATATTTACTATTAAAGTGTAAATAAGTACATTTTATTTACACAGTTGTTTTATAACACCTTCAAACTAGCCAAATCCATATTTTCATTAAAATTAAATAATAATTTACTATCCAAAAGTTGGATTTTCTTTATTACTTTCAATATTTTAATTTTGACAGGAAGCAGGTGTAGTTAAAACATATTGTTTATAATAATTGAAAATGAAATGCTCTACAAGATAAGATATTTAATGAAAAAGTAAAATGAATGACATAACATTTAGGTAATTACTTATAACACTAAATAAGGTAACATGTACTGTTATTAGCACTTTTTACTATTTTATTAAAGAAAATAGATGTGTTGGTTTTGAAATTAATTTTCTTTATTAATTAAGCAGACTACACACTTAATATTTTTGTTTAAAATTTAATTTTTTTTGAACTGTAAAAAGTATTACAATTAATCTTAAATTTTCTTACCAATAACTGTCTGATCTGAATTACATTCGTTTTTATCAAAAAGTAAAGGAGGTAATAACTGTACATTAAGGAATTTTTTAAAATTCTTTTATTTAAAAAAAAAGTATTTAACTTATACAAATTCTGAAAGTATAATTCGAATTTTATTAAAATTTTTGACGTATAAAATTTAGTAAAAAAATTATGTAATCAAATAAATATACTGATTAAAACCTAAGCAATTTTGTTAAAGCGCCAATAACTGTACACTAACTTAATAACAAAAAAATGTAACATGGTTTGAAATTAAAACTATTAAATTTAAAAGCCACAAAAAAATTACTAAAAAAATTCGGATACGTATTATTATCAACGCTAAACATATACTATTTTAGTTTTAAATTAATAATGTTTTCAATATAGTTTTAATTTTAAATAATATTAGCCACAAGTGATCAATTTTTCTTATAAAATTTAATGTGGTTTTTTATTGAACTTTTAACAGATTTTTTGATTTATAAATTAAAAATACATACATTGTTATTGTGGTAGATATATACAATAAAATGATAATTTATGAAGAAACGACGCATAGCATTATGTGAAACTACTTAGCTAAATGTTGTGTAAAAAATTTTAGTAGAATTTGAATTTTTAAAATCGACTGAGATGATTTATTTAGTTATAGGTTGAATACTGGAGACTACTCTAAACAAATTATTTTGAATTACAGGTACTTCTATAACAAATGCCTTAGAAAAAATGGTATAGAATGAATATTCAAATACATAAAGTATTTGAGTATTTTTAGCAAAATACTTTAAAATTCTTGTTATTTCAATTAAATAAATCTATAAAAAGTTCCGAAAACAATATTTAAAAAAGTTTTGATTTTGTTTAGCTCAGTATTTGTGTGTTTTATACCTCAATTGCTTGACTTTATTTTGTAATAAAATTGATTTTTTTAATGCATTGACGAACAAAAAGTTTCTAAAACAGTTGATAAACTTGCCAGGAAATTTTATCCATTCACTAATGTAAAGCCATAAAGTAATGAAAATAGCTTTGTATTTTTATTATTGTGCTACTCTTTTGCCGTTTTATTTCGACCCCTGCATATTTTTAGAGTAGGTGATGGCTATTATTAAAAATACAATAACTTTTTTTTTAATTTGGAATCATTGACATTTTAATCTTTGTAAGTTTTTTTAACATCACTGGATTATTTATAAGAGATTTACAGTAAATTTTAATAAAACATTCAATATTTGCCTGTATTACTACAATTTACTTATAAAGAGTAAGTTATTTTTCTTCATATACTTTCTTTTTTGTAACAATAATAAAAGTTCTTTATATTAATTAAAACATTGTCTGTTTATTACTTCTTTGGCTTTTGTTGTAAAAATGTTTTTTCATTACATAATTACACTATCACATAATAAAACATAACATGATTTACATTCAATGGCCGTCTATTTTATGTAAAAATAATAAATGCTGTTACATTAATTACTTTTTTTTTTATTTAATGACCATAAGATTAAAATAAAAAACATGAAAAAGTATACGTGCATTCACAAAAACAAGTAGATTAAAATAAGTTTATTCATTTCTATATGTAATAATATTCCTTAAATGAATAGATGCAAGTCATAAATCTAAATAAAATAAGTAAAGGGATCTCGAAAAACACTAGTTGAATATCTCTTTCAAAGAGTCATCAAACATTACGCCAGACTTTTATAAATTAATATTATAAAATAAATTCTTGATACTACCAGAAACCGAAATTAATTAATATCGTTATTAACAACGCAGTAATAATTAATTAAAAATTCTTAAACGTATTTTTCAAACTTAAAAAGTAATAATTTAATCAAATTTATTGAATAAAATATCTCTTCTTTGAAGAAATAAATATTTTTTTTTTT